AATACATTTTCACAGTTTTGACAAATAAAATTTATGTTTTTCATATTAACTTAGTGGTTTAATAAAGACGGTTAGTATTACAGCCATGATTTAGTTTATTTTTTACTGAACCATATCGAATCAATTTGAAATATATCGAATCGAAAGTGAGCTATATCGAAAAACGCATCGTATCGTGGCCTATGTATCGAGGTATGTATCGTATCGGCAACTTCTTAATGATATCCAGCCCTACTCACTGCGTAGTTTAACATTTTTGAGGATTAGAACCATTATTTTTAGCTGCATACAAACCACTTCACTTTTCAATGAGCCGGCAGATGCAGTCCTAGCGCCTTCTGCTGGCAACACATTACACACCAAGAAAGTCTTTGAGATATTTCCAAGGCATGTACATTTAAAGGCCCCGTACTTGGTTTTTTTCATGTATTTGAGCTCCAGTACAGAATAAAGTCAAACAATTTTACTGTCCGATAATCAGGAAGTGCACGTTAGCATGCCAGTTGTTGTTAGCTCTGCACCGTTCCCTGAGAAGCGCTTATAAACTCGTCATGGTGAATAATTTGGACGCTCAGAACGCATACGATAAGTGAGGAAAAACACTGGACCACGAGAGAGTTATTTTTAAATCAGTAAAAAAATCATGTACAGCGTCTTTAAGTTGATTTACGTTGTTGTTAACAGTAGTTCAGACAAGACCGTCTGAAGAATGAGTGAAATATCATCGTGAGGTGCCCTGAAAATGCACGAAAAAGCCCACTGGAGCCAACAGGAGGTGGGCAGTCCCAGGGGTGTGATGATGCTCTGCTCCTTTATGTGCGAGCGCATTCCTGACTGACGCTTTTACACTGTCCAGATGCTTTTGATAATCCTGTGCCTCCTCTGCCAGTCTGTCTCAACATTTATCTGTTTTATTTTAAATGTGGTCAGCCTTATCTTTAACTGTACAAGATAATGGTTTATGGACATAGAAACATTGGTACAGTAGTGAAGAGTAGTAGTAAGTAGAAGTAAGAAGTTCTGGTTAGGTTTATTTACATACATAGTGCTGGTTCAGTCCATGTTTTGTTAAAAATGAAGCAATATTTTAGTTTTGAGCCTAGGGTGATCACATTTTCAAAATCAAAAACTGGATTTGTGTTGGTTGGTAATAAAAAAATTGCGAAACAAGTCCGTAATTAAGGAAAATTGTTCTGCACTTGGTCCATTCACGACCAACGTGAGCCAGTATAGTCACATTTTCTTTGTGTTTTGGTGAGTTTTAAGCAGCTTTTCTGTAGTTTATTTAAACAAATGTCACTTTATCTAAACAAATGTTTCACTTTGTAGAAACCGCCTGAACTCGCAGCGTTAGAATTCGTTTGCTCGTCGGTAGGTGGGTACTTTTTAAAAAATGTACCGTATTTTCCGCACTATTAGGCGCTCTGGATTATAAGACGCACTGTCATAGAATGGTCTATTTTCGAACTTTTTAAAAACAAAAAACAAAAAAAAAACGCGCCGGACTTTATACGAAACCCAACATTTGGATCTGTCAGTGGGACTTTGTTTGTGGCGTTCACGGTGACTCTGGGCTTTGTTCAGTTGTGGCGTGTAGGGAGGGTGCTGTCTGGGACCGCTGGATTGTCGGCGTGTTCGCAGTGACTCAGTTGTTCAGTTGTGTCTAGAAGTGACACATTACACTCGCTTTTTTGGTTCATTCCTCCGTTCCGTTCCTTGTCAGCGTGGAGCGATGAGTGTGGCTGTGGGTGTTTTTTGCCACGCGGTTGCTGTCTGCTCCGTGTGTGTTTGCGTGCGCTGTGGGTGGTGCAGCTTTGTAGTTTACTGAAGTCGTGGATTCGTGTATAGGGCGCTCTGGATTGTGGGGGTGCGCAGTCATTTTTTGATGGGGTTGGAGGCTTAAGAGAAAATACAGTAACCAATCGCTGCTATTTGGTCGTGACATACGTAACGCGCCGCTAATGGGGTTAACTGGTATATTAAGCTTTTCCCAAATCTCGTAGGAAGAAGGACAATCACGTCTTTCCCCTTGATAAAATTCATAAAATATTCATTTTTTTCCGGCTTTAAATCCTCGATCTCGGGAATCTCTGCCAACACAAAATGTATGGCTCTTCGCTGATTGGCTGGTGCACGAACTCGCACTTCAGGGGTTTTTGCGAACCGTCTAGTGTATTCCGATTCCTGACCTAGTTGCTGGAGCGAAATGACATTGAGCGGAGGCACTAGATTGGGCCAGCCTGCCTACTCTTTACTGTTGGTAGGTATCAAATTCAATTCAACTAATTAAAAAATAGAGACATGTGGGACATTTTTTGTATAAAACTGGGGCAAATCCGTGGTTTTGGACAAATCTGCTGGGACAGGGCACACAGGGCTCAAAACTGGGGCTGTCCCGGGTAAACAGGAACGTCTGGTCACACTATTTTTAGCCCCATTTTCAGGCATAGGTTTTTCCAGCTGCTTTTTGGTTAGGCTCAGTTTCTCAATCGTCAGAATCCATTTTAAATTTATTACATCATTGGATCATTTCTTAAGGTCAGGTATCACATAAATCTTTGGAATAACTACAAGAAGTACACACCATGCATGTTATGATACAAAAAAAAAAAAAAAAAAAAAAAAAAGGAGAACAAGGAGTATACAGAAATATACACAAATACACATATTTTAGTTTATATTTTGGCAAAAAATGTACATACTGTGGCTGACTCTTTTCACGTGGAAGGGTCATCACTTATTTGCCTCTGTGAATATTCAGCTTTTTTCGTAATAAAAAATCCTCAAATTTAATGCGTAAAACCTGGATAAGTTCATGGACGTACAGTGAAACATGCCAGACAAAGCAACAAGTTACACTGTGCACCTTTAATTCTTTTGTTTTTGATTTTGTCCAAACTGCGCACTGGTATTTTTCTTTTTTGTCCACATGAAAAGTTACACAGAAAACCTTTAAATTTACACATTTCTTGTTGGGTTTTCAAAAAATGTGTATCTTACTTCTATTACATATTTAAATCACCATGTTACCTTTTAATTTTTTGTTTTTTTAATGCTATATTTGCCAAAAACAATCTATTAACATGTTTTGTAATTAGTCCCCCTCCCTTTGCTCCCAGCACTGAGTCACTCCCCCTTCAGAGCGCTATCCCAACACAATCACAGGGGATTCGAATAGGGCCCAGGAGAGATCGCTAGATTACTCAAACATGCACGGATGACGTCTAAAACCTCTTCGGGCTTGTTTTTGTTGAGGGAATGACATTATAACTCGCACAGCAACAAATAAAAAAAACTAAAAAATGTCTTCTTTAATGAACACAACACATGGATTTTATGAATAACAAAAAAAGTGAGCATGAATAGTTGAATATATCTGTCCATTGTTCAGAGAAAGCCACTCCTAAGATCCCTAAAGATTCTGGGTTAGGCTCAAACCGCCCACACTATAACAATTTAACAATAATGTATCTGTGCTGTACATTATAAAACTTACCCTTTTAATTGTCTTCAGATTGTAGAATGTGCAGCGAATGTCCCGTCTCTCTTTCTCACTGGAGCAGGGGTCAAGAAAAATCTGAAAGGAAAGGCACACATGTTGATTCAGTTTGATCCAACTCCCCCAAAAAAGACCCAAATTTACAATAGATATTTTTAACTCCTTGTCAGTTAAACACTACAGGCTTAAATATGTGTGAAAGGTCATTCTTTTCCAACATGTTTCCTGTGATGTAACGATATCCAAATCTCTCGGTACGATATTTATTGCGATATTTTGTGGAGGCTGTGAACAAAACTGTGAATATGCTACTTTTTCCTCTTAAAATGCCTTGACAAAACTTAATCCAAAGACTTAAAAGTGTTTAGAACAGTTATTTCTTCTTGTAGTCTACACTGAAATGGAGCAAAGGATCATGGTTTATGTAGTTCTTTCTGTCTTTTTTTAGCTAATGCTGCACCATAACTCTTAAAGACTTGTAATTCGATATATTGTGATGGTCCACGATATTATTGTGAGAACTTTGACAATACGGTATCACGATATTTTGGTTACTGTTACATCCCTAAAAGACAAAACAACAAACTTAGACTTAGACAAGGTGTATTGAAGTTCAAAGCAAAAACCAAAAGCAGATAATAATAATGAACAGGATTTATAAAGCTCAAGGATGTCAAACTCAGATTCACAGAAGGCCGAAATTAAAAACTGGGACTAAGTCGTGGGACAAACTAAATATTTATTGAAAATTTTAAAAACCTTTTCTTATTAAAACAAATGTTTAATAATAGTTTTGCATAAACACTAAATTCAGAATAAGCAAAATATGAAATAATAACAACATTTTAAATAAAAAATGTCTCTGTAGCCGGTGGGCAGCTCTAATACATATTAGATATGATCTCGTGGGCCAAATATAATTATATCGTGGGCCAAATTTGGCCCCCAGGCCTGAGTTTGACATGTCTGATATAGCTCATTCACTCCACACTCAGTGGTCATGTAAGGTGTTATTGTTGGCTGACAGAAGCAGAAGGCTGCCAATCTGAGCCATCAGCCGAATACCAGCTCGAGCGTCCCCCTGGCTTGAAAGTCTCAGCATGAGCGTCCCATTTCCTTCTCTCTTTGGGCGCCCCCATCTCTCCGGCGACACAAGGGTAACTGCAGTGCCCGGGAGAGGGGGGACGTTCTCGCGGCCATGTCACACATTGTGATGTGTTGATGTTACAAAATCTGCATTTTATATCTTGATAAAATGAAATGTGAATGTAGTGAAAACAAATGTCGAGCCTTGTTTATGTCATTTTATCGATCTAGTTGGTAACCAGGTCCAACATCTTTGCTTCTGAGATCTGACACAGGTTTAAAACAAGCACTGCAAATCCTGAGTTGGAAAGATAAATCGTAAATCGTATCACAATTGCAGTCTCTTGTTAATCTCAGTTGAGGTTTTATTTGTGCTTTAATTTTCTCACACTTGCCTGTTTGTTGGTTTCCGTAGCGTACATCCAGACGTCGCGTGCCCTCATGATCTCGGCGTGTCTCATGGGGCTGCCCGCTCTGCTGCTCGTGCTCATGGCCATGCCCTGTGTGCGTCTGCAGAACGACACGTCCACCAACAAACTGCAGAGGTCCAGGATCGGAGGAGCGCTCTACGTCATCATGGGTAAGAATATGAGTTAGACCTGGGGTAGACCTGGTTTAATCCTGTTTAGCCCTTTTTTAGACCTGGTTTAGACCTGGTGTAGACCTGATTTAGTCCTGTTTTGACCTGGATTAATCTTGTTTAGATCTGGCTTAGTCGTGATTTAGTCCTGGTTTAGTATTGGGTTAGTCCTGTTTAGACCTGGCTTAGTCATGATTTAGTCCTGGTTTAGACCTGGGTTTAGTCCTGTTTAAACATGGTTAGAGAGACAATCTACACACTCATGGGTAAGATCAGGGTTCAATTTTCTCCTGGTTTAGTTTTGGTCTAGTTCTGTTTGGGTAAGCCCTGGCATGGACTTGGATTTTGTTTAGTTCCACAAACAGCACCACTCACCAATCGGAGCGGTCCTCTACATCATGATGGTCCTGGGTTAGACCTGGATTAAACATGATTTGGATGAGGTTTAGTTATGGTTTATCCTGTTGATAATATTTTATTTCAGTAGAAAATAACGAAAAGATGAATTTATGTTGAACCCGATCATTTGTACTAGTGGCTTAGTGTCTCTCTCTGCTCAGATTGTTTGTCTCACCTGTTCATCTCTTTCTCCCTCTCTTTTCTCTGATTGGCCCTCTTACCTGTCCATCTCTCCCTCTGTGCTCTGATTGGTCATCTGGTCTGTCCTTCTCTCTCTTTCTCCTCTAATTGATCGTCACACTTGTTTCTCCCCCTTTCTCTGCTCTGATTGGTCGTCTCACCTGTCCACCTCTTGTCCTCTTCTCTGATTGGTCGTCTCAGATGTCTATCTCTCCCTCTGTCCTCTGATTGTTCATCTCACATGTCTATCTCTCCTTCTGTCCTCTGATTGGTCGTCTCACCTGTCCACCGCTCGTCCTCTCCTCTGATTGGTTGTCTCACATGTCTCTCTCTCTCCCTCTGTCCTCTGATTGGTCGTCTCACATGTCTATCTCTCCCTCTGTCCTCTGATTGGTCGTCTCACATGTCTATCTCTCCCTCTGTCCTCTGATTGGTCGTCTCACCTGTCCACCTCTCGTCCTCTCCTCTGATTGGTCGTCTCACATGTCTATCTCTCCCTCTGTCCTCTTATTGATTGTCTCACCTGTCCACCTCTTGTCCTCTCCTCTGATTGGTCGTCTCACATGTCTATCTCTCCCTCTGTCCTCTGATTGGTCGTCTCACATGTCTATCTCTACCTCTGTCCTCTGATTGGTCGTCTCACCTGTCCACCCCTCTCTCTCTTTCCTCAGGTGTGTTCGGGATCATCTCCACGGTCTGGTTTCCGATTGGCGCGCACCAAAACGAGGGCGTGATGTCTTTCGGTTTCTCTCTGTACTGTGGCTGGGTCGGGGCCGGGCTCTGTTTCCTGGGCGGGATCATTATCCTCTGTTGCTACGGCGCCGACCCCTCGCTGCCGAGTCGCGACACGAGTTTCTACTACTCCAGGTCCCGCGGCATCGCCATCCCCTCCGACCAGCCCGCCAACCACGCCAAGACCGCCCAAGTCTGAAGCATTTGCGACAGGAATAAAAGGTCCCTACTGTGAGAAAAATCAACAGTATTTAAAGGTGCATTGTGCAACTTTTCTGGTAGGAGGTCCGCCACCTGCTTGTCACCATGGAGATGTTATTAATTTGCCCAAAATTTTCCTCAGTATAGTATTAAACTTACTTATTTACACAACAAAAAGTGTTAAAATTGACTCTCACAGAATCAATTTTAACATTTCCTCAGGGTTTATATGAGTTCAATCTGTTTTAGAGTTAATTTAACATTTTTGGAAATTTTAATAAAGTAACACTGGACCAAAGTTCAGTGATTATCCCTGAAATCAAGACTTATATTAACGTTTTGAGCGTAAATGGATAACACTTTGTAGGGTTATCCTGATTTAGCTAAACAACACACAGAGGTGTTTTATTTTTACACTTTATTTTAGTTAATTTAAGATCAAATTATGTACAAAGCTGGTCTTATAAAACTGGTCTCTCACATGGGAAGTTTGAAGTGGTGGTGGGAAGGTTGAAATTAACACTAAGGAAGTTGAATTAACACCAGAGGAAGTTGAATTAACACTAGGGGAAGCTGAATTAACACTGATTCAGTTGAATTAACACTAGGGAAGTTGAATTAACACTAGGGAAGTTTAATTAACACTAGAGGAAGTTAAGGAATTGAATTAACACTAAGAGAAGTTGAATTAACACTAGGGAAGTTGAATTAACCCCAGCCATATTCAACTGCTGGCAAATAACCCCAACTCGAACCCCCAATTTAACATTCAAATAGTTAAAATAACACTTTTTTTGTGTTAAAAACAACTCTGAAATATTTTACCCTGAAATTTTAACCCTCCAGTTTTTGCTGTGTATTTATCTCCACGGAAACAAGCACAGAACTACCAGGCCAAGTTACTGGTCAGATCTGTGGAACATGCATGATTTTCAATGTATTATGTTAACAAAAAAACAAAAACCTGTAATTGAGTAAATGCAAAGTATAAGTTTGATGTCATACTATGGGACATTCCAGGCAAAGCAATGACATCTCCATGGTGACAAGCAGACTATCCTTCAGAAAAGTGACATAGTGTACCTTTAATACAACCCAAATTTTCAGAGGTTTTCCCCCCCTGAGCTCTGTTAGACTAGAAATTGGGGTGAAGAGTTGGGAGAGACATTTGGCAAATCATCAAAACAGGACATTGGTTTCATGAAAGCAAAACTAGTGCTTCATATTAACTTTTTTAAAATTCCTATTTGACAAACCTGTTGATTTAAATGTAAGTTTTTGTGACAAACCAAATCAGGAGAGTGGTAAGAACCTAAAATTCTAATTAATAATGAATAAAAACTTGAACATTTAAAGTTAAAATGAACATTCAAAACACAATTTACACAAAACCCAGTAGGAGATCCTTGTGTTTTTATAGTTGCTCTTCCATTTTATACATTTTGTTGTGAGACGATGTTTTCTATTAGTTTTTTTTTTTTTTTATATATAGAGAAAAACAAGATTCTTAACTTTCTTTACTGTCAATAATGTTTTCACTGTTAATTCTTTCAACGTGTGCTTTTTTTTATACCATTTTATCCAATATAGTTAGTTATACAGAAAAAAAAAAAACTGTTTACGTTTGTGACCTGTAATAAAAAACTGAAATTCTCGTTGTTCATTTATTCTCTTTGGACAAAACACAACATTTGCACGAGTTTACACACAAACACAACACAACATTCACTCCAACAACAAAAAAAACACAGAACAGGCGTCAGTGCTTTATATTTACAGTGCACCTTTTAACACGTGTAGGGATGGGACAAAATCTCGTGCAGCAAGATGAGAAAAATGAGAAACACGTGAGAAAAATGATCTTGTGAGATTTTTTTTAACCTTTGGCTTGGATAAAAAAAAAACTAGTTAAGAGCTGGTGAGTTATAGAATTTGAGAATCTGTAGCACCAAAAACCAGAAAACAACATAAAATAAATAAAAATACTGAAGCTAAAATTGTAAAATGAATCGCACTGCTTATTTATTACAAACTACCTCAAAATCTCATCTTGTCTTGTACTCGTGGACCTAATCTAGAGAAAACTGCGTCTCGTCCCATCCCTAATCACGTGTAATTAAAGATATTTTCAGTGATAAAAACTGCTTCGTTAGTTTGGAGCAATTTAGTGGTCACAGTAACATAATAAAAGAGAGTTTTTAACACTTTTATGGGGTGTTAACTGCTAACACAAAGTGAGGATATTAACATAGACTCCCATTGACTTATGTTGGAATATTGTAGCTCCTCTCTCTGTAACTGCTGCAGTGAGACTCGTCATTTTGGTCTTAAAATGTTTCGTTTTAACCCGCTCTGCATGATTCTGATGGGATTTTTTCACTATGTTGTCCAATGCAGCGACTGCCGTTGTGGTGAAGGCGGATTTACCGGTCAATTTTCGATTGCGATTTACAGGTTAATCTACAATCCTCCTTTCACCTATGGTCATGAACTCTGGGTAATGACTGAAAAGACGAGATCGCGGATACAAGCAGTCGAAATGAGTTTCCTTCGCAGGGTGGCTGGGCGCTCCCTTAGAGACAGGATGAGGAGCTCAGTCACACGGGAGGAGCTCGGAGTAGAGCCGCTGCTTCTCCACATCGAGAGGAGCCAGCTGAGGAGGCTTGGGAATCTGTTCTAGATGTCTCCTGGGCGAATCTTTCAGCACGTCCCACCAGAAGGAGGCCCCGGGAAAGACCCAGACACGCTGGAGAGTCACCTGGGGGTCCCCCTGGAGGAGTTGGAGGATGTTCTTCCAGGGTGTCCAAGTCCAGGGTGAAGGAAGTCTGGGAGTCCCTGCTGAGACTGCTGTCCCTGTGACCCGGATAAGCAGAATAAAATGGATAGATCCTATTCTATCCTATCCTATTCATAATATAGAACCTGGCTCCAAATTCGCTCCTGTAACCGTGAGCATCGTGATCTTCATTTGAGTGGCGTTGAACATTATGGGTGACGTCACATTCGCTTAGTCCGCTTTTTTAAATAGTATATGGATATTATGCAGTACCCCAAAACTCCCCCATACTCACATTATGTAAGATAGAAAGAATGTTTATATCCTCATTAAAAACATCCATGCGTGTTTGCGTGATTTTGCGATGTCTCCCAGGCAGGATTCACACGCTCCGTCCTGTTAGCTTCATGAGTCTGTCCAGAGCTCATAAAACAGGTTAATACGGTGTTTTCGGTGAATATAGGGTTTTAAAACAATTCAAAACAATAAAAGGTAACATGATGATCTAAATATGTTATGTGTTAATAGCAGTTAATATCTAACCTGTAGCACATATTTAGTTCTACACATTTATCAATCTGGAGCAGTTTTGGTCGGCTTGGGCACTTCCATAGACTGTATAAAAAAGTGGACTATGTGCCACAGCGTTCAGCTCCACTCAAAATGAAGCTTGTAATATTAACGGTTACAGGAGCGAATTTGGAGCTCTATTTTCAGGTCTGGAACAGGACATTTTCAATTTCCATGACTTTTCTAGGATTTCTATTACCATGGGAATCCTGTATATTATTAATGGAATTTTTCTGTCGAACAAAATAGTGACAAAACCCCCCCAAAAAACAGGATCATATAAAGCGGGTTACATTTTAAGACCAAAATGACGAGGCTCGCTGCAACAATTACAGAGAGAGGGACGATGGTTTTCCAACGCAAGTCAGTGGGAGTCAGGGTCAGTAGGAGTCGGAAAAACTTACATGTGAACTTCATCCTATTAACGATGTCCATTTATATTTACAGTCTATGGGCACTTCACACAAACCTCAGTGCTGCTCTGTGATTGGTCCACTCGATTCTGGGCTTTACAACGGGAGAATCTCTAGATGAATTCTCATGAGTTGGTTAATACCCCATAGAAGTGTATAAAATACCCCCTTTTTAAAACAACTTTGGGCCTCATTCAGCGGAGACTCCACTATCCACCCTGATCAGCAGCCACCATTTTCTGGATCCAACCTGTTAATAAAAACAACAAAACAATAATCGTCTTTGAGTTTCTCAGATTAAACAAAGGCACTTTAAACAGTTTTTGCCCATTTTTAATCGTCATCGTCAAAGAAGCCCCGATTGGTCCTTCCTCTCGAGCTCTTGTACTTCGTTCTGGGTGCAGACTGGTACCCATACCCCTCCTCGCCCTCCTCCTCCTCTTCCTCCTCATCCTCACCCTCCTCGTACGGGACCTCCTGCCCCGGGTGGTTCCTCTGGGCGGTGTAGAGGTAGCCCCTCTCCTCGGGCGCAGACCAGCCCTGATACGGCCGCTCACCGTCGCCCTCTTCTGGGTAAAAGTCGGGGGAGAAAGTATCGTCCAGGTGGTCATCGTATCGCTGGTAGGTGCTGGCCTGAGCCTGCTCCTCCTGCGCGTTCAGCTCCAGAGTGCTGTGCCACACGCCGTAACAGCAGTAAATCAGCAAACCTGCACAGGAAATGGAAAATGAAAAACTATTTGAATAATGCTCATGTCTAAATATTTATGCTAAATCAATCAACTTTAAAGGATCCATGTGATGCTATTTTCTGATCTTTGTAATAATAGTTGTTTCGTCATCAAAAACAAACCTGGAGAAGTGCAAATTTAATTGTTCTCTTAAACAGAAAACACTCTAAACAGTTCTTGTGATGTCATGTGGTAATACAGGAAGTGCTCCACTGAGCTTTCCCACGATATTGCAATAAATATTGTACCGTGAGTTTGAGGCTGTGGCTGAGGCTGTGTCATTATGGAATACCCTGCCCCCTGACTCTATAGACTCTTTTAAAAAGCAGCTCAAGACATGGCTTTTTATACAAGCTTTTAGTTGACTGTGCCTGTAATTCCTCTGTTCTTGTACATGTTGTTTATTGCACTCTCTGATTTTTTTTTTATCTGTGAAAAGGTGCTATATAAATAAAGGCTTGCTTACTTACTTACTTTTTACCTCTAAAAACGTTCCATATCTCAATAGACATGTGGATAAAATAATAAGCAATCATATTATTTGTACGACTTATTAGATAATCTCTCCTAAAGCTGAATAAGTTGGTTGTGGTTGTGATCCTGTCCGACTGAACTCATGTAAATGTGAAACAGTTTTTCTTCTATTTTTGTTCCACTGTTGTTGCCTGAGACACAAAAGACTGAAGCTGGAAGAGCATCAATCACTGACTTCAAACTGATGTGAGACTGTGTGCTGCTGCTGTGGTCAACATGTGCAGAGGCCAGAGACGGGGAAACAGTAAAAGGGTAAAGGGGTAAAGAGGGTAAAGGGGATAAAGGGTAGGGCTGGGTATCATATCATACATACCTCGATACGATACATATATCAATACAATGCACTTTTAATTCTATACGATATATTGAAAATCTATTCGATCCAGTTCAATAAAAAATAAAGGCTAAATCATGTCTGTGATACTAAAAGTCTTTGTTAAACCACTTCTTGTGTAAATTTAATATGAAACACAAACATTTTAATCATCAAAACAGGGAAAATATCAAATATGTTTCTTAAACAAGTTTCCTTTCTCTAAACAAGCAACAAAACTGTGGTGCCGTAACAACAATTTAGTAAAACATACCATAAAACTCTTGGCGATATATCGACACAGCAGCCAACGATATCAATACTGTATCATCACATTAAACCAGGCGTGGGCAAACTGTTTTACTCATGGGCCACGAAGGGTTCTAAAATTTGACAAAAGGGCCGGACCAGGAGCAGATGGATGGAGTTTTTTGTAATCCACCTCATAAGTGAAAAAAATAACATGGGATATGTAGAAAATTACTTTTAAAACACAGAAAATTATTATTATTTTTCAAGTTTGGTGGGCCAGATTAAAAAGATTAAAGGGCCGCATATGGCCTCCGGGCCGTAGTTTGCCCACCCCTGCATTAAACCATACGATATATATCGATGTTTTGATATTTTTGCACACACCTAGTAAAAGGGGTAAGTGTATGTATATTGAAATATTACTTAAAGGGCCCGTATCAAAAACCTGCCCGGAGTTGTGTTTCATTCAATCATTTTTAACAAATTTAGTTCTTCTCTCAAACAGAAAACACTCTGTTCCACCTTGTGATGTCATGTGGTAATACAGGAAGTGCTCCACTTCCTGTATTACCACCTTCATTTGTATCATTTAGATGATTTCAGCCCTGGAATAGATGCATCAAGACTTGAAAAAGTGAGCATCAAACTGTCATGTTTGTTTTTCCAGTGCGATGGTCTACTATCTTTTCAAGTCTTTTGAACCATATCGCTCTTTTGTTTCTGATTCTGATATTGTCATATTTTAGTTTGGGGATTCGGACATCATAATTGTGTGGTTGTTGGATGTCCAAGCTCAGCCTGTTTGTCTTCTGCACTTCTCACTTAACAAACGGATCCCACTTTGTTGTCGCTCCACATACAAAATGTTCGCTGCAAACTCGGGATTATTTCTTAGGCAGTCAAAGGTTTCCTTTAATTCCGTTGGGAAGGGAAACAGTTTGAATGGAGATTTGCAGTTATGAAGTTCGCAAACAAATTTCTCTTCCATTTTCCGGTGTTAGGATCCAACAACCACACAATTACGATGTCTGAATCCCATAACTAAAATATGAAAATATCTGAACCAGAAACAAAAACTGATATGGTTCGAAAGACTTGAAAAGATCGACTTTGTCAATAGACGCATCCCACTGGGAAAACAACATGGAGGTTTGATGCTCACTTTTTTGGAAAATCCTTCCTAGTATGAATTGTGCAATGACCGGAAGTTCGAGATTCTTGATGCATCTATTGCCAATGTCTGGTGAACTAAAGGTTAAAGGAGCTGTTTACTACTGCATCATGACGTCACAAAGTGGTACAGAGCATTTTGAGCTTTGGAGATGTAGACAGACTAATAATAAATAATAAAGGGTTACTCAAAGATGTGTAAAACTAAACAAAACAACAACGAAATGTATTTAACCCTCTCAGGCTCAAATTAATTTTTAGTATCAGGAAAAATCTGATATTTGGGTAAAATTATAATATGGGGTAGTAATATACAATTCTGACTTTTTTATCCTTTGTAAACAAAAAAAGTATTTTGCACTTCTGGCAGGCCGTTTGCGTGTAGCCATTCTTGCACAGTCTGCATTGCCCACGTTTATCAGCATGGATGGGAGAAAAGGCTCCTGAGTAAAAAAAGCTCATAAAATATAGATGTGGAGTAAGTAGGTACTTGGAATTTAGCTGTTGCAAATCTGCAACGCCTGCCTGGAGAGGGTTAAAACACAGTGTGGCACTTTCTGTATTTCCACATGACATGACAAGGTGGAGGTGTTCTTTGTTTGAAGAGAAGAATTCAGCCTAAACATGCAGGATTTGTGAGTTAAACATCTGCGAGTGAAACTTTAACCATAATCTCAAAACGTCAGCCAAATAAACTCACCGATGAGACACCAGATCGTAAACCGTATCCACGTCAGCGGCCTCAGCTTCAGCATCAGGTAGGTGTTCACTAAAATGGCCGCCGCGGGGACGAAGGGCACACAGGGCGCCATGTACGGCAGACGGCGCGGGCTCTCGGGCTGCTGCAGGATCGTCACCATCAGCTTCACCAACGTCCCGCACGCCAACGCCGCCATGATCCCCGAAAGTACGGCTCCAAATCCCGACCCCTGCTCCACTCCGAAAATGACCCAGGACCACATGATGAAGCTAGAAATGAAGAACGACAGGGTGCATCTCGTGACGGTGCGGCCGGTGATTGGCGTGGGGCGGGCGGAGGCGTCTGGCATTCCCAAACGCATCCGAATCGTGTAATAATGACCGCCAAGAATCCGCTTAAATAAAGGGGCGTGTCCGGTGTGGAAATCTGAGTCGTCTCCCTCGCCTTCTGTCCCTCCAGCGTGATAAGACGAATTCTCATTTTCTATCAGTTTTCGATCGTCTTTCGTGGGAAAATCTCCGTCTTCAAGCTGTTTAATGTCCTCGGTGTCTTCGGATCTGAAATGGTGCGTGTCCGTGGTTTCGTCGGGTTGGTAGCGCAGTAAAAGGATGCAGACGCTAACCAGGGTGTATGCCAGCAGCGTGCCGATGGACATCATCTCGATCAGGTCGCGGAGGCTGACCAGGAGCGCTAAGATGGCGGCGAAAGTCCCCGAAACAACGCAGGCCACGGCGGGAGTGTGAGTAAAGGCCGACACGTGGCACAAGAATCTGTGGAGACAAACAGGAGAGAAACAAGTAAGACTGAACAATGCCAACATTTACTTTGGTAATATTTGAGACATGTTTTTTTCAAGTGGATAGTTGCGATGAAGATGATAGAAAGTTAAAACCATCCTTTGAAACATCTTGTCATGGTTCATGTTTTGTAGTCGTTGTTTTTGCTTATTTTCATGTATCTTTTTCTTTCATTGTTGTGTGCCCTTGGTGTTGGCTTCATGCTCAATTCAGATTTTTTTGTGAAATCCAATGTTTTTGTGAGGTCGTTCACATTTCAATTTAAATGCGACTTGTATGTGACTCCAGTGTGAACATTACACCGCCCAAAAGTGTCCCGCATGTGCACTGGAGACACGACGACATCAACCACAGCGAGCGTGCTCTGTGTTTACGGAAGTTGTTCAAACATGAAAGCGAGCATTGAGCATTTTTAAAGTTCCTCTCGTACCGAAGCCAGAACATGAACAACTTACTTGTTTTAAGGAGGAGATTGAGAAGGAGAAGGACGAGGTTTTTGGCCGTGGTGTTTTGTGGGACAGCGGCAGCGATGTCCGTTGAAAAGGAACGTGTGGATGTGGAGACGGAGCCAAGAGTGGTGAGTGGAGATGTGCTTCACTTCAGTGACACAGAGTTCACTAACAATTTTCACCTACTTCAGAGCAGAATAGTGACGTTTGTGGCTTGTTGATAACGTGTAGGTCGGATGAATGCGCTTTGGCCGTTCAGATTGAAGTCGCAAAAGATCGGATAAGTATCGGTTTTAGGAGCACATATCCAAGTGTCCTGGGTCGCATTTGAAAAAATCGGATCTGTGTCGTTCAGACTGTCATTAAAAGATCAGATACAGGTCACATAGGGGCCAAAAAATCAGATTTGGGTCACTTCAGGCTGCAGTCTGAACGTAGCCTTTGATTGCACTAGAATAGATTCAGGCTACGTTTATATGATGTGGCGTTGCGTCTTTACTTTTTATTCCACATTTAGACAAGCGTTTTAGGGAGGAAATCTGCATATGGTGACGCAAAAGTGTGTGGAATTTGATTGGGTATGCATGCCAGGTTTCTGTGTACTGTATGTATGTGATGTAAACGGGTACGCGACGTGAGCAGATCTGACCAGAGTTTTGCGTCTTGGGCAGTGTAGACGGAAACGCTGCAGCGGAGCATTTCAACTTTTCCACTCTGGAGGGTGGTTTCAGATTTTTGCATTTTTAAGCCCCAAAAACGCCGTCATCATCTAAACGAAAGGCACTTCCGATAAAACATTTAGTCATTTTTACCCGCAATCGTTCTCGTGTAAATAGGCCCTAAGATTTTGAAAACTCTGATGTGTACAAAAAGTAATTTACGTGTTCTTTGTATAAGTCTGTGTCTGACCTGAAGAGCAGCCCGTCTCTGGACATGGCGTAGATGACTCTGGGCATGGGGAACAGAGACCCGAGCAGAGACACAGTGAGACCCGCCACCGAACCTGCAGCTACGACGTACTTCCCCCAAAGGAACCCGTGAACCGCAAACATCTCCATGAGGGGAGCAGAGCCGTCGATCAGGTCGTAGGGCACCATCAGGGTCAGGATCACACTCACCTGGAGACAAAAGAGGAGAGGAGAAGGAGTTTTATGCTGCTCAGAACCTCAGAAATTTCCCCTAGAATCTGGCAACCCAAAGAGCTGAAGTGTTGAAACAAATAACTTTATCTTTTAAAAATTTAAGCGTTACAAGCAAAAATCTCCATGGAGTAAAATGTTGTGGTTTTACTGAGTGCAAAGAGGAGTACTTCAAATAAATCTCACAGTGGTTTAAAGAGACACAGATCAAACTTTCCACTTGCAAATTCATTAACTATGGGAGATTTTAGGCTGTAAACAAAAAAAGAGAAAGCAGGAGAACTTCAGCAGGGAGGTTTTGACTTCTTACTGACTTCAAAATAAACAAAATGAGATAAAATGTTCTTGATAGAGTTCGTACCGAGACGTACGCAGTGAGACATGTGACGAGCGAGGCGGTGATGGCGTACGGGATAGAGGTGTTTGGGTTTTTGGCTTCTTCTCCCGTCGTCGCGATGATGTCGAAACCAATGAAGGCGTAAAAACAGGTGGCTGCTCCCTGCATCACCTGCACAAAAATAAGAGGACGTCTGCTAGAAACAATTCTCACTGACCAGTTACAATCCGTGTATCATTCGTTCATTAGTTTTTCAAAATAAAACCAAAAATAGGAAAACAAAAAAACTATTTTCTTCATTATTTGTCTCCAAATCCAAAATGAAAAAATGGATAATGATTTGTTTTTTCAGTTTTCGATTTTGTGTTTAAATGAAAAATGAAAAAAAAAGGATAACGAACTGAACCAGGACTAAACCAGGTCCGGGACCAGACTGGAACCGGACTGGGACCGAGACCAGGACTTAGACCGGGACCAGACCGCGATTGAGAATGGGAACAGACCAGGACTGAGACCAGGATCAGACCAGGACCAGACCAGGAGTGACACCAAGACCAGATGAGGACTGAGACCAGGACCAGACCAGGAGTGAGACTGGGACCAGACTAGGACTGAGAGCAGAACCAGACCAGGACTTAGAACGGGAATGAGACTGGGACCAGACCAGGAATGAGAGCAGGACCAGACCAGGACCAGACTAGGACTGAGACCAGGACCAGACCAGGACCAGACAGGAACTGAGACCAGGACCACAACCAGACCGGGACCAAACCAGGACTGAGACCAGGACCAGACCAGGACCAGACCAGGACCAGACCAGGACCAGACAGGAACTGAGACCAGGACCACGACCAGACCGGGACCAGACCAGGACTGAGACTGGGACCAGACCAGGACTGAAAACAGTTTCGTCCTGGTTTAGTCCTGTTTAAGTCCTGGTCCAGTCCTGGTTCAATCCATATGCAAATAATTGAGACTTATAATAACTAAAACATGTGCACTCAAATTAAAATATAAGTCTAAATAAAGGAATTATATTAAACTATGTGTGCAGTAATTATCTTAATGTAAATGAAATGAAATAATACTAACACTGTGGAGTGGTGGCAGAAGAATCCACCACAAACATGATTAAATTTGGCCCTGGTACTTTCATACTTAAATGCAAACGTCAAGGCAATAAACTGAGACAACCCTGGTCTAGTTTTTTGTTTGTTCAATCCAGTATCCAGAGTCGTACAGGTTTACTCTGAATCTATAATCACAAATAAACACTGGACTCACCCCGGACCATCCGTAGGGCAGAAAGTTTCCTCCCTCCCAGTTTCGTGCTGAGATGAAGAAGAGTCCAGCGATGATCATGAAGACCCACACCACCAGGTTCACCACGTTCAGGACGTTGTTGAAGCCGATGGAGTTTCTGACGCCCAGAGCGATGATCGCCGTGACGAGGAGCACGATGAAGAGCGCCAGCAGGTCCGGGTACGTGTCCTCACCTTTACCTGAGAGACAAGAATATCAACAATCAACATTATGTCTGTAACTTTGAGAGTCATTAAACCAAACCATTCTGTATTTATTCAATTATTGGTGTGTTTTTTGTTAAAAATGCTCGACTCTAAGCAAGCTCATTTCTCCATAGATCTAACCTGTTACTTTGTCTGGCCATGGAGGTGTTGGATCCTCCACCAGAAAAGTTACATTAACAGTCCTATGTCTTCTTTAAAGTGATAGTCTGTAACTTTTTGGAGGTGAAAAATCAACTGCATGATTCTAAGGAAATAGTATAAGTTAAAACAATACTTTTGGAATGGAGACAGATTTATAGTTTTATGTCATACTGTGGAATATTATAGGCAATGGCAACAACATTTCCATAGAAACAAGCAGGAAGAAGCCTTTCTACAGGCCAAACAAGAGTCAGGTTTGTGGAGATGCAAGCCTGCTCACAGAAAGGATGTTTTTCTATGTTTTTCAATGCAATAAAACAGGTTATCCCCAGGTTTGACTACCCCAAATTTAAGACTTTTTTAAGAGCTTTATAAGACCACTTAAATGAAAATTAAGATCAACATCGCACCCATTATGTGGGCGAAAAACACCAGATCCAGTTCTAATGACGACCAACCAGCTACTACATCTAGAATCTAAGAGTGGATGTGGATTAAACCTGTACTTCCCCATGATCCATCCAACATCTTCCTCCAGTCGACTGATTATTTGCTCATTGCCGCCAGCGCCAGAAACCAAAGTATTGTTTGGATATGCTCCAAATTAGATGTTCATTCATAATTTCACTGTGTTTTTTTTTTTTTTTTCCCCCCCTCTGTTTAACATTGCACTGCAGCCCGGGTGAGTTTACAAAAAATAAGCTACTAAAATTTAAAACCTTTGTAAAAAAAAAGACTTGGACAACGTAATTTAAGATTTTCTACAGCCTTAATTTAAGAACATGAAATTTAAGACAGTTTTAAGACTTTTAAGACCTCGCAGCTGCCCTGTAAATACATCTATAGTATAATTAAAACAACTGATATTATTTGAGTCTGTTTTCTGGCAATAAAAGTTACAAACTTTGGCTTTAAACAGTGGTATAAGTGTTTATATAAAGAGTTTAAGAAATTGAATGTAATTTGCTTGAACATTTTAATATTCTAAATGTTCATGGCTCATATTACTCTATTTTGTAACCTATTATAATGTTGTTTCTTGATCAAAAACATACTTGGAGTTGTGTTTTGTAACCCTAAACACAACTCCAGGTTCGTTTTTGATGCAGTAACAACATTACAGCGTGTCTCAAAGCTCACAAGAGTCAATTTTTTGTAATACAGGACCTTTAAATAAAAGTTATTGAAGTAAAATGGCGTACCCAGCCCTCGCAGCGTGCCCAGGTGTGTGATCATGTATTGGCTGATGGTGTGATTGGCCAAAGAGTCGAACATGCTGCTGAGCGCCGAGGCCCCGGCCGCCGTCCCGATCAGATACTCCAGAATCAGGTTCCAGCCGATGAAAAACGCCACGAACTCCCCGACCGTCACGTAACTGTAGGTGTACGCCGAGCCGGTGGTCTTCGGGACACGGACGCCAAACTCGGCATAACACACACCTGAGAGAGACAAGGAGGGGTGAAGAGGTCAGAGAGTAAATTAGGCACCAGGGAAAATAAAAAACAAACAAAAACAACATGTGGATTTAATGACTGTGGTTCAAACATGTTGAATTTGTATTAATTTATTTTGATTTGCTTGAAAATTTACATGAAAATTCTGCAAAATACAGTTCTGATTTTCTGTGCTCACAAAAATGAAGACAAAGCACAGAAACAGATTGTACCCCGGACTGGAACACGCTACAAAAACACAGACAGGCCCACTTATCTCATTACAAATATTGAAATGTTAAGACATGTTTTGTATAGTTTCTAACCTCTTTGTAATTATTTTATTGACTGTTTTGTTCCAATATTGCTGGTTCAATTAAATGTTGAAAAGAAAAAGAAATGGGCTACATTTAATGTCCAAATAGGCGACTTATTGCTGCTTCAATTACTGTTTTTCATTACTTAGAACTTAGACTTAGACAAACTTTACTGATTCACAAGAGACATTATTTGGACACAGTAGCTCACACATCACAACAGAATATATGAGCTACTAGGTCTTGAGTAATACTACTATTAATAATAAGTAAATAATAAGTAAACAAAAAGTAAAACTAATAATAAGTAAAACCCGAGTAATACTAATTGTTCAGAGAGACACGATAAAATATCCTCATTAATGTTCAATAATCCACCTTTATTTAGAATTTTACGAATAATGTCTATTGACTTGGGTTGCGAAGGTTTGTGACTTTTAAAAATATGGGCCCCCAGAAAAAAGTTTGGGAAACACTGTGCTCAAATCTTTACTGAACAACTGGGATGCAAGTGGATTGAAATTGGAAAAAGGGATGTTGGGACCTGTCAAACTAAACAACAACATATGAACTATGTCTGAACAGTTAGAAGACTTTTCTGTTAGGATGAATTATAATTGTTGTAATAATTGTTGTAATTGGTGATGTGATAATTATCAATTAATCTTACAGCACAGCTAACACACATGACTAAATATGTGTATTTTAATAATTACACATGCTTTTTTCTCCTGTCATGAGTATTTTAGACTTGTTCTTTCAAAACAGCGTTGGCCCGTACGGGGATCGAACCCGCGACCTTGGCGTTATTAGCACCACGCTCTAACCAACTGAGCTAACCGGCCACGTGCAACCAAGAAAAACACGCATTTCCGGCTCACGAGTTGCGTATGATCCGATTTTCACTCACTTGATTATTATTTTATTCACTTTTATTTGAGCTATTGTGCACTGTGTAAAAAACAAAAAAAAAAAAAAAAAAACATAAATAAAATAAAAAATCAATAAATTAATAATAATAAAAAAAATACAAATAAATAAAAATCAATAAATTAATACAAATAAAATAAAATAAATAAAAAAAATAAATTAATTGATTAAATTAAAAATAAAATAAAAAACAATAATAATAATGAAATAAAAAATAATAAAGTAAAGTAAAGTAAAGTAAAGTAAAGTAAAGTAAGTGACACATCAGTGCTCAAAAGGAGTAGGCATTAGAGTAGGGTGACCAGATTTTCAAAATTCCAAACTGAGATACAGTCAGCTTGGGATGTTTGGTATAAATAAAATTGTAAAAAGAGCGTATAACATTGTGCATTCACGTGTCAGTCATAATCTGAGGCTGCATTTTTTTTTTTTTTTTTTTTGCTTTATGGTCACGGTTTTCTGTATTTTGGCCAAACAAATTTTTCAATTTTTGCTCCTCTTTACTGTTGGCGAGGATCAGATTGGTCAAAAATTGTGACAGTCCTGTTTGAATCCTGGTTTAGACCTGATGTAGTCCTGGTTTAATCTTAGTTTTGTCCTGGTTTAGATCAAATTGGGCAAAAATAGGGACATTTCTTGTATAAAACTGGGACAAATCACTGGTTTTGGATACATCTGCTGGGACAGGGGACACAGGGCTCAAAACTGGGACTGTCCAGGGTAAAAAGGAACATTTGGTCACCGTTTTCAAGCTTCTTTAGAACCTACCCCAGAAATGAAACACGATTTTTCTCTTGACAAATAAAGTCAGGCCACTTTTTAGTCTCGTACTGATTTTCAAAATCCTCCAAAACAATTGTAATGATAGAGAATTTAGTATTACAATAACGATTAAAACATACAAGGCAACGTAATTTCATCTTGTTTTAAAATATTACCATTTTATTTTAATTTATCGTGATAATGACTCGTTGCAGACCTGATTTTCTCCCTCAGAAAATGTTTAAATTCCAGGTAATATGAAAATTAAAACCCAATTTATTGACTTTCACCTGAGAGAACCGAAGCCACCGCCGCGATGATGAAGGAGAGTATGACCCCGGGCCCCGCCATCGCCTTGGCCACGAGCCCGGACACCACGTACATGCCCGTGCCCACGCAGCTGCCCACGCCCAGAGACACCAGGTCCACCGTGGTCAGCACCTTGGCGAGGCCCACGCCCGAGGACGAGTCGCCCATCTCCGTGAGCTCGTCCCCGGACTGCCCCATGGAGCCCACGGGTTTGGTGCGGACGAGCCGGGAGTACATGAGGTACGCCGAGTCTCCGGAAAACACGCGGCTCAGGAAAGACGCCATGACTCCAGGAGGTAGAGCACCGAGTTTGAGGTAGATTTTTTTTTTTTTTAATGGAAGGTGGTTTAATTCTGGTTCAGTGAGTGTCCTCCATGGTCAAAGGTAGTGTTGATATCTTGGTTAGTGCTTCATTTATTTTCCTGAAGATGGAGAAGAGATTGAATTAGGGCTGTGTAAAAAAAAATAAAAAAATCCATGTATCATTCGTTCATTCATTTTTCAAAATAAAACCAAAAATAAGAAAACGAAAAAACAATTATTTTCTTCATTATTTGTCTCCAAAACCAAAATTAAAAGACAGATAATGGATAATGATTCTGGGACCAGTCCTGGTCTTAGTTCTGTTCTGGTCCTGGTCTCAGTCCTGGTTTCAGTCCCGGTTTCAGTCCCGGTCTCAGTCCCGGTCTCAGTCCTGGTCTCAGTCCTGGTCTGGTCCTGGTCTCAGTCCTGGTCAGTCAGTCTGGTCTGGTCTCTGGTCTGGACCCAGTCTCAGTCCTGGTCTCAGTCCTGGTCTCAGTCAGTCTGGTCCCGGTCTCAGTCTCTCAGTCTCAGTCTGGTCTCAGTCCCGGTCTGTGGTCCTCGGTCTCAGGTCCTGTCTCAGTCTCAGTCTCAGTCCGGTCTCAGTCTAGTCTCAGTCCCGGTCCCGGTCTCAGTCCTGGTCTCAGTCCTGGTCTCAGTCCTCGGTCTCAGTCCTCTCAGTCCTGGTCTCAGTCCCGGTCTCAGTCCCGGTCTCAGTCCTGGTCTCAGTCCCGGTCTCAGTCTCAGTCTGTCCAGTCTCAGTCCTGGTCTCAGTCTCAGTCCTCAGTCTCAGTCCTGGTCTCAGTCCTGGTCTCAGTCCTGGTCTCAACTTTGGTCTGGTCCCAGTCTCAATCCCGGTCTCAATCCCGGTCTCAGTTCTGGTCTGGTCCTGGTCCCAGTCCCAGTCTCAGTCTCAGTCCTAGTCTGGTCCGGGTCTGGTCCTGGCCTCAGTCCTGATCACCCGACAGTCTACGCAGGCGCACTTCCAGCTCCAGGCCTGTCCCGACACTCAGTCCTGTTTTAGTCCTGGTTTAGTCTTGTTTTAGTCCTGGTTCAGTCCGGCATTGTAGTTTAAGTCACAGAAACCGTTAATTATCTGTTTTTTTCCATTATTAGTTTAAACACAAAAGCGAAAACTGAAAAAAAAAGAAAAAAAAAAGAAGAATCGTTATCCATTTTTTCATTTTGGTTTTGGAGACAAATAACGAAGAAAATTGTTGTTTTTTCATTTTCTTATTTTTGGTTTTATTTTGAAAAACAAATGAATGAATTATACACAGATTTAGAAATATGTACTTTTTGTTGTGGTTATTTCTATTATGATCTCACTAATAATATATGTAAGACTGGGTATCATTAAGAAGTTAAATCGCTACAAAGAAAAACTAAAACATGTCGGCCAGCTTAATGCGAGTATAAATCCAGTTCCTTGCACCAAATATAACATGCGTCCATCTTTTTTACTTCCAAAACTCTGGAGTCGTTTAAACAGCAGTGACGCCCGACTCGGTGGAGCGGGACGACTCTGAAACATTCATGAACTCACAGGCTCCACTTTCACAACGGAAAGCTTCAACAATACACGGGCCTCACTTTGGCCTCTGATAAGACAGACCTAACTTACCTATTCAAAGTATTTTTTACTGTCAGAAAGTATATATTTTAGTTAGTCTTGTAATAAATGGCATTAATCTCTAGGGCTGGGAATCATTAAGAAGTGGCCTGGATCAGGATTGTGGAGAATATTTCAATGGTGGAAAGAATAACATATAATCTTAAATTTAAAGGGTACAAATACAACCAGCAATGGGAAAAATGGAATGTATTCATCAATGAGAAAACCAGAAAAACAACACAGTGCATAAAAATGTCAATACCAAATGCATGTTTAAATAAGAACCTGTAACTCCAGACTGTTGTTACCCTGTTTTTGATTGTATATTGTTTTTGTATGTTTTGAAATGTTACTTAAAACTAATAAAAACAAAGTTATAAAAAAAAAGAAGTGGCCGATACGATACATACCTCGATACAGTGCACTTTCAGTATGATACGATATATTTCAATTCGATTTGATTCGTTCAATAAAAGATAAAGTCTAAATCAGGCATGTCCAAACTATGAACTGTGAGCCAAATGCAATTTTTCAGACAATTTTTTTGGCCCTCAGGCTTTCCAGGTGAATTGGCCCATCACATCAATTAAAAATGTACTTTTTACCGCAAGTTTTTTTTTAAATCTACCTTGATAAAGCCTAATATTTAACATTAAGTGTGTGATTTTAAAGATCTTAGCTTGAATAAAGACTGTATAAAGACACTGACTTCTGTGTTTAGAGATGTGGCCGTTAATGAAAAAAGTTTGGACACCCCTGGTCTAAATCATGTCTGTGATACTAAAAGTCTTTGTTAAACCACTAAAGTGAATATGAAACGCGAACATTTTTATCATGAGAACAGTGAAAATGTCAAATGTGTCACATAAAAAAAGTTTCCTTCCTGTAGCTGTAACAAAATAATTTAGTAAAATATACCAAAAAATACTCTTGGTGATATATCGATCCAGCAGCTCACGATCTCGATACTGTATCATCGCATAAAACAATACGATATATCGATATACACGATATACACGTAAAAAGTCTCAGTTTAAAGTGTCTTTTGTGCTTTGAAATTGCACAAAAAGTTACAATTACAAGATATTTAGTTTCTAGACTCTGCTTCACCACTTTCTGATCACAAGTTGTTGTCAAAATGTATGTTACTGATCTAACAATTCAAACTAAAATACAAGACAAAGATACAAAATAAAAATACAAGTCTATTATTACCTCTACATAACAAGATTATAAATGTGTAAAAATGTAAACACAAACTTAAGTAAATAAACATTGGACTCACCTGTAGATGTTTTAGTTGCTTGAATATTGTAAGTTATATTTTGTAGAGTTTGTGCAGATCTGTGGTAAAAGTTGGTTTAAGACGAGCGTTAATGATTCAAACCTGCAACTCGAGTCCGTTGTGTGGAATAGGATCAGGGCAGCACGGCATCATGGGAACTCTCCAGGTGTGCCGCGGACAAGCCAAGCAAATAAAACCATATTATTTATATAGAAAACGTTTCAAATAAAGTGTCTCAAGTATTTTATAATTAACATGCAGTACAATTAAAGTATTTTGTTTTGATGATGGATTTGACAACATCTGCAGCAGAAGCAGATAGAGCGATTATTATGGAGACTTATATAATATAATAAATAAACTGGACCAATAAAAATAAAACAATAAATTTACTCTTGTGAGCTTAAAGCCATGTTATAATACTGTTATAACATGGCTTCAAAAAACAATATAAAAATCAGATCTTACAGAAATACCTAGACCAGGGGTGTCAAACTCATTTTGGTCCAGGGGCCGTATCCAACCTACTTTTATCCCAAAGGGGCTGGATCAGAAAACTCATGTCATATAAACCCCAAAAATAACAATAAGTTCAAATATTTGTGTAGAGAAACGCAAATCTATTACAGAAATCTTTTTTAATTGATGAACTCTTTCTTTTACAAAATATTATAATATTATGAACAACCTGAAGCTTTAAGAAAATTGTAATTTCAACACAGTTTTAATATTAACTTGTATGCAAATAGGAATAAGTCAATTTTTCTTGGGAAAATCCTGCACTCGGCACCACGTTTTTCATTTTGGACATTTTTCTGATGAGGGTGTCACGGTCAACAGTCAAAACGATCGTCCTTTAAGAGCGTTTGGAAAGAGACAAGTCTTCATTTGTGCTGCTCTGGTGGGAGGGGCCACATACAGAGACGCTGGAGACGCTGCTGTGATAAACACCGCAGAAAATTACCAATATTTTAATAGAAAATATAATTAAAATATTTTAGTATAAAATCAGCCGAGGGCCAGATTAAAGGTCTTGGAGGGCCGGATCTGGCCCCCGGGCCGTATGTTTGACACCCCTGACCTAGAAGAAGAAGAATTTATATTTTGTCTATATATGCAGTGAAATTGTAAATACAAACTTGCTGTTCATACGCTGCTTTTCTTTCTTGGAATTCTGTCATTGTTTAACAGGGTTTGGAATATGAGAAAATGTTGTTTTTGTTTACATCCGTCTTTTCCGCACATGCACAGTGGCTGGTAGGCAAAAAGTCAGTGGAGCCGCTCGTTTGTGTTGACAGTTGCGTTGCGTTTGTCTGTCATGAGATAACTCGTCTTATTTTGATATAGGGTTTGCATTTAATTTAATTGTTTTGACATGACTTCATCCTCTTACTCTTAAGGCAGTGAATGTTAAGGATCAAAAACGTTACTTTGAAAAGTTAAAACTCGCCGATAAGTGTTGACGATGTTGATATTGACTTGTTGATACGGACGTTTTTTGCCTATCAAAATGGCTGACGTGAGGTAATCGTATTATTATTACTAAGTACTTTTTACTTCAGCCTAAACCAGGGGTGTCCACACTTTTTTCATCAAGGGCCACATATCTAAACACAGACCAAGCAGAGGGCCGATCGAGGGCCGTAGACTGGTGCTCAATACGGAGAATAATTGAAATATGTGCATGTTTAACAGAATGAGCCATCAGTCTTTATTTATTCTAAGATCCTTAAAACCACACACTGAATATTCAGTATTAGCTTTATCAAGGTAGATTTTCAAAAAACTTGCAGTAAAAGTTATTTTTTAATTGATGTAAGGTAATTTGGGCCAAGTCACCTGGAAGCCTGATAGCCAAGAAAAATTTGTCTGAGGGCCGCATTTGGCCCACGGGCCGTAGTTTGGACATGCCTGGCCTAAACCCTTTCAGTCATGATCCATGGGGTTGTAGTTTATGTTTTGTTTTGTTTTGATGTGTTTTGTAGTGCTGCAAAACTACTGAATGCAAAACTTCTACAATTAAAAACAAAACAAAACTACTCCTCCAAAACAGAGCTGGAGTTGTGTTTTGTTTCTTTCACACAC